GAGGCCTGTAATTGTCATCATAGGTAGATCTCAACCATGAGAGACAAAATGAGAAAACAAATCCAGACAATCACATTGTATGATTTGGAAAGAATTTATTTACAAATTATGGTGGAAAATAAGTATTTGGTCAATATCAAAAGTTCATCTCAATACTTTGTTATATATCCTTTGTTGGCAATGACAGAGGTCAAACGTTTTCTGTAAGTCTTCACAAGGTTGGCACACACTGTTGCTGGTATGTTGGCCCATTCCTCCATGCAGATCTCCTCTAGAACAGTGATGTTTTGGGGCTGTCGCTGGCAACACGGACTTTCAACTCCCTCCAAAGGTTTTCTATGGGGTTAAGATCTGGAGACTGGCTAGGCCACTCCAGGACCTTGAAATGCTTCTTACGAAGCCACTCCTTCGTTGCCCGGGTGGTGTGTTTGGGATCATTGTCATGCTGAAAGACCCAGCCACGTTCATCTTCAATGCCCTTGCTGATAGAAGGAGGTTTGCACTCAAAATCTCACGATACATGGCCCCATTCATTCTTTCCTGTACACGAATCAGTTGTCCTGGTCCCTTTGCAGAGAAACAGCCCCAAAGCATGATGTTGCCACCCCCATGCTTCACAGTAGGTATGGTGTTCTTTGGATGCAACTCAGCATTCTCTCTCCTCCAAACATGACAAGTTGTGTTTCTACCAAACAGTTCTACTTTGGTTTCATCTGACCATCTGACATTCTCCCAATCCTCTTCTGGATCATCCAAATGCTCTCTAGCAAACTTCAGACGGGCCCGGACATGTACTGGCTTAAGCAGGGGGACATGTCTGGCACTGCAGGATCTGAGTCCCTGGCGGCGTAGTGTGTTACTGATGGTTGCCTTTGTTACATTGGTTCCAGCTCTCTGCAGGTCATTCACTAGGTCCCCCCATGTGGTTCTGGGATTTTTGCTCACCGTTCTTGTGATCATTTTGACCCCACGGGGTGAGATCTTGCGTGGAGCCCCAGATCGAGGGAGATTATCAGTGGTCTTGTATGTCTTCCATTTTCTAATTATTGCTCCCACAGTTGATTTCTTACACCAAGCTGCTTGCCTATTGCAGATTCAGTCTTCCCAGCCTGGTGCAGGTNACCAAATACTTATTTTCCACCATAATTTGCAAATAAATTCTTTCCAAATCAGACAATGTGATTGTCTGGATTTGTTTTCTCATTTTGTCTCTCATAGTTGAGGTCTACCTATGATGTCAATTACAGGCCTCTCTCATCTTTTTAAGTGGGAGAACTTGCACAATTGGTGGCTGACTAAATACTTTTTTCCCCACTGTATATGTAATGAAGTACTTTTTCTTAGGAATTAGCTCTCATTTGCTTTAAAGACAATGTTTTAATTCTACAAAGATAGAAGAAAGAACGAATCCTGTATTGTAAAAAATACCAGGGAACTCCCGTTTAGTACTATGTGCCTTATTTCTGATCTATAATAATATTTTACTTTCTTATATAATGGGATGAGAAATGTCATATGTTGTAAATCCAAGATCTACTTCTCAAACTCTTTTTCTTCCTCATTATAACATAATAGTTATTTTGACCAAGGGCTTTTCTTAGTTATTGGATGTCAAACAAGGAGATAATGAAATTCTGTTATTATGAGGATGGAGAGCCTCTGGTCCATGGCCAGTTAGCTAAGACATCCCATCCAGCCTATCTTGGTTTTCATGAGATCTGTTCTCTCCTCCATGATTGTTTTATGAGAGAGAAGCAAGCTATCTTTCTTAAGTTCTTTTGCTTAACTCATTAATGGGGCAAAAAAGTTCAATAGATCTATTTGCTTGACAACTGCAAACAGTTCTACATAGCTGTGGAATAAATGCAAAGTAAAAACAGTTTTATGAATTCCCATTGTAAATCAAGTACATTTGTACAAACCTGAATTGTAAGCATCACATTTCACAATACAGTTCATATTTTTCTTACCATATGGGAGATAAACCAAAATCGAGAAATTTCTTTCAAAAATATGCATATGCAATTGTCTTTTGTTAAAAAATGGATACTTAAGTAATCAATTAATTTCAGACTCTCCTGCATGAAATGATTCATGCCCTGTTGTTCGTTACTAATAATGACAAGGATCGCGAGTCCCACGGTCCAGAGTTCTGCAAACATATGCACCGGATAAATCGCTTAACAGGAGCCAATATTACGGTAAAGGCTTTTTGTGATATATAGATTCATTTTGATTCTTCAAGCACACAATAAGAGATGGCATGATGAGATGGCAAGCCAGTTCATGGAGGGATAGTATACGCTAGCAGAGTGGATATTTTCAGCCAATCCTCAGGTGTTCTATTATTAGCAGATGTAGTTTCATCTTTTGGGCTGAGGGCAACTAGAGCAAGTAGAAGAATGTGCGCCTTCATAAATGTTTACTGAAAATGGGAAAATGGGTAGATATGTAATAAATACAAATGCTGGTAGAAACACACGTATTCCGTAAAAAAAGGAATGAATGTTTGTTGAAGAAGTGAAAAATAGTTGTATTTAAGAGTGTGCTTTTGCCCATGTTAAAGTAAGGATTTGAGTATACAGGAGAAACATAAGAAAAAGTAGTGAGAGTGGGAAAATTAGTCTTCTGGACAATAGATTACGGTCAAGAATGAATGAGTGATTAATTCATATGGACTGAACTTTGAATCAGTAATACGAAAAAAAAAATATTGAAATAGTTTGCTTATGTAAAGAAAATACATGTTAATCAGTTTATATGAAGGAAGAATCAGTACACAGAGAAAGTGGAAGATCAAGAAAGTAGTAATTGGATGGGGGTGTCCAGACCCTCTTATACCTGTAATTTGTTTGATTTATTGTTTCTCACTCCTTTTCTGCACTATGAATTATCACTGCTTACCCTGAAAGGGAATATAGTATAGTATAGTATAGCACGACAGATGTGTATGTATTTACATAAAATGAAAATGAAAGTTGTACTGTACTTTTTCCCTTCCTTGGATTAATTTCAGATCTATCATGAATTTCACGATGAGGTGGATTTCTATCGTCAGCACTGGTGGCGTTGTAATGGGCCATGTCAAAATAGGAAGCCTTATTATGGCTATGTAAAACGTGTAATGAATAGGGCACCATCTGCCAATGACTATTGGTGGGCAGAGCACCAAAAGAGCTGTGGAGGAACATATATCAAGGTCAGAGAGCCCAACAATAGCTCCAAGAAGTGCAAAAAGAAAGATGATCAAGCAAAAATCCTAAATGATTCTTCACGTATGTACCTTTTGTTATTTACCAACTATGTAACTAAATTCTGTAAGGATAAACGAAAAGGTTAATTAGAAAGCTACTTAATTTTTTCTCAGTAGTGCTGTATATAGAATAGTATATAGAATTGTGTTCAGTACAAAAGCAGAAGGCACTGAATTTCTATTTTCTAGATGAGGGTGATTTGAGATAAACTTGAACTAGTGATTTGGATTCTAAAAGCAGTTGGAACAGAA